TCATACTCCTCCTCATACTCCTCCTCATACTCCTCCTCATACTCCTCCTCCTCATTCTCATCCTCCTCATCCTCCTCATCCTTATTCTCCTCATCATCCTCCTCATCATGATCATCATCCTCATTCTCCTCCTTCTCCTCATCATCATCATCCTCATCCTCCTCCTTCTTCTCCTCCTGCTCCTCCTTATCCTCATCCTCCTCCTCATCATCATCATCATCCTCATTCTCCTCATCCTCATCCTCCTCATCTTCCTCCTTCTCGTCCTCCTTCTCCTCCTACTACTACTACTACTATTATTATTATTACTCCTACCCCTCCTCCTTCCCTTCTACTTCTTAACTATATTTAAAGTATGACTTTAGATAACGCTTTCTTCTTTCGTTTTAGCCATTCTTATGCCCCAGATTTTAGCAAGCTTGAGCCGAGGTTACATTCTAAAAGTATAGCACTGTCTACTATCTTAATATTTGAAGCCAGCGATCCTCAGACCTGGCGGCAATAGAAGAGAGATTTCCGGTTTTGGAAAATAGGAACTGACAGATTTAGTTCTTTCTTAATGACGATATTTCATAAAGCCTAAAATATAATATACTTTCAGCCCCATAAACGTTTGTGCTTTATTTGTCTAAATACTTTTCCCGGATATTTATTCCTCTGAGAAGGGCACTTTAGCTGTCCGTGGCCTTATTAACTTGATGACAAGATAAGCCTTCTCTATTGATGCTCACGATGGTGCTTGCACTAGCCAATTAGTGTAAACGAATTTGCGAAATTAAAAAATCACTAAATGTCCTTTTTCTTATACTCCATCAGCATTTCGAGCTGACTACCACAACACTCGTTTGGAGAATTTTTTGCCTCCCATAGCTAAGGTGATTGTAAGTGGCCTGGAAGCATTTGTGTGTCAATCACAGAGAATAGTGGAGAAAACGGAACAGGATTCTGTCTTTTGCTGAATTAAATTATGTCCATGGTTCTAGAAGCGCCTACAATTTTTTTTTAATGCCCCTTCCGCCTGCATTGGCCTCTACTTTATTAGCAAGACCGTATTAACAACTAATAA